CCCTATATAATACCCCTATACTTGAGCTGTGAGCGACAACTTGAGGTTGCCATAGCACAGCCGTCAATGGACTCACAAACTACGAGTTTAGGGTTTAGGGTTTAGCCTTGAGCTCTTCTTGGCCACATGCGACCGTCACAGATTCAAGCGTACATGCCCAATCAGCTCTCACTTCACAGACCTACTCCTGGAATGGAAGGGCAAGACATGGTAGCCATGCTTAGAGGGTCAGGTGGACTTAGCAAGTAGGTTAGTCATGGGTATAACTGGGGTCACTATATTACTCATAGCATGTGTACACATACTTCATAATCTCCCTGACCCTCCAAGTAGCGTAGCCAAATCCAAGTTAATCGCAGCTTTCTCGCTCCGAGCTCTCGCCACTCTGTGTCGGGCTTCGCCAATTGCTCACTACTCTCCATGGCCTGCAACAGCATGAGACTCTCTTTGTTGCTTCTATAATTACAGCTTTTAAACGGTTATATGAGGCTTGACAGCCCACGAGTGCTAATTGCTGGTGCACCGTAGGCAATGTTGGAAAGGAAAAGAAAGCCAAACCTGTCATATTTGTGGTTTAGGGGAGGTAAGGTTTCTGGTTTCACGTACTGCCGGTTAACCCCTATACCCTAAACCCCAAACCCTTAACCCTAAATCCTAAATCCAAAACCCTTAACCCTAAACCCTAAGAGCATGAAAAGCATGGTAGGGACCGTGGGGCATATGTGGGGACTACTACAAAGATCCATTCAAGGAACCATAACGTTGGCAAGTATCCCTAGTATTATAGGGGTTATAGACGGCTTTATAAAGATTATATGAGGTTTTATAGGGATTATAGGTACCCATTGGGGTAATATTAGGGTTATGTTAGGGTTATATGGGGATAATGGAAAAGAAAATGGAAACTATTATAATGGGTTATATAGGGTTGAGGGTTATAAACACCTGTAAATCATCCCCAGCTTCCATTTCAGTTTCCATGTGTTGGCCCCATTTGATCCTCCAGTATTGGGCTAGTATCCCTAGACCGTAGCTTCATCTTCTTTTCGATTCCGCGAGGAAGACCAAGTTATCCAAAACATACTTGGCTACAGCCTCAAAAAGGGGGAAATTCGTGCCCAAAAACATGAACCCACAGACCTGCGCATGGCACAAGGAAAATGTCCCTTTATCGACCCTAAAACCATAAACTTACCCTGCAAACTAGAATGCCCTAGACCCTTAAAGCCCTAACCTAACCCCAACCCCTACACCATGCACCCTCCTTAATTGTGCGAAGCTGCGCGGAGGAAAAAACTAATTCTGAGAATAAGGCAGTAGAAACCATTCTAAATGCCTTCTGAAAGCCTTCTGACCTATGTTCAAGCCGATCCTGATCCCTCCTGTTGAAAGTCATTTAAAGCTAGGATCCAGATTCGTTTGGGCACCCCATGTTTTTTTTTTTTTGGAGGGGTGTGGGGGGGGCTACGCTGATCAGGACCCCACATTACTAATCAATTCTATTCATTGCATACTAGTCGAGGGAGTCCCTCTAAAATGCTAGACCCTAATCATAAAACCCCTTATCCCTAGTCCCTAAACCCCACCCCCTAGACCCGAAACCCTAAACCCTGCCGATTCCCTAAGCCCAAATCCCTAAACCCTCATATCTAAATCCTAATCCCTAAACCTTACTCCTTAAACCATAGTGCCTAAACCCTAAAACCCAGTCCCAAAACCGTGCATTCTCAGTGCTTGGACCTCCTCAGCGCTTTTTGGCCTGTTGCCAGCCCTCCTCCTCTGTCCTCACTTCAGGGGTTTAGAGGGTTTAGGTGGGTTAAGAACTTAAGGTTTAGGGCTTAAGGATTTAAGGTTTAGGGTCTAAGATCTAAGGGTTTTAAGAACTGCTGAGGCTTCCGTGTTCGGGGGGTTAAAGGATGGGTAGTTGGGTTTTTTCAGGGCTTGAGGATGCGAGGAGAAGGTTTTTTCAGGTTCGGTTGCCGGGTTTCAGGATCTTGGGAGTTGTTGCAATGGGTGGCTTTCCCAAAATTAGGGGATAATAGGGATTATAGTATTCTGGGAGCTATACTACGATCGCTGGTGTATGGAAACCACCAAGTCAGCTAGGCCAGAAAGCTTTGGAAATATGATGGGGAGGGTTCTCAACCCTAAATCCTACACCCTAAATCCTACATCCTAAACAATCATGGGTCCTCTTCTTGGGGATCCTGAATTTCAGGCAGAGGCTCTACAGGCAGGCAGCAAGCTCCACGCGCCGCTCTCTGCAAAACCCCTAAACCCTGCAGGCCTAAACCCTACTTGGAGGGTCCCCCCTTTAAGCAGATAGAATATGGGGTATATATTATTTGGGTTATATAGGGATAATGGAAAATAGAATGGAAACTGCTATTTAGGGTTTCGGGTTTAGGATTGGGGTGTTGTACTTGGAGGGTCAGGGGGCGTAGTAAGTAGGTTGATAACCCCATAACCCATGTAGTAACCCTAATTATCCCCATTTTTAACCTACTTACTAAGTCTCCCTGACCCTGCAAGTAAGCCCTTAACCCTAAACCCGAAGCCCTAAACCCTAAACCCTACGGTAATCCAAACCCCGATGAACTACACACACTGCAACGTGCGCCTTGGTGGGTCTTGCAGGACTAACTACCTGCTGACTGGAAGCCTCCCTGCGGAACCCATTTCCAGCTACCTTCCTCCAGCAAGAACTTTGCTTCCTGGTTCTTAGTAGGGAAAAAGGGGATCCCTATATAATCCCTATATACTATATTCCTTATTCCTGACTAAGAACCAGTAAGTATAGAAATCCCCGCCTACCGTCAAGCAGCCCCCTGACGCATATCAAGCACTCTCTAGAGGCAGTCAATCCGGATATGCAAGGGGTCTTCAGTACAAGAGATACTTGAACTTTGCATGAGGGCGACAAGACCCTGCACCTTACCTCCGCATGATTTGGCCACTCAACATCAGGATTGCCCCCATGCAAGCTCGAAGCGGTAAAGTTCTCACAAAAAAGGCACCGAAGCACGTAATCATTGTAATAATACTAATAATAATGAGTGTACTAACAGTAATAGTAATCAGTAATAGTATTTGTGATTGTACTAGTAATTAGTAATAGCAGTGCTAATAGCAGTAGCAATAGTAACAATCATGGTAATAGTAATAGTAATAGTAACTTGTAAAAGTTGGGAAACCCGTTTTGGGGCACCCTGCCTGGCGGCATCGGCCTTCTTCCTGGGCTTGGAGGACTGCTCAATTGGAAGATTACACCTATATAATCCCCAAAAGGATCCCCATAAATCCTAAAGGGTTTAGGGTTTAGGGAACCCTAAACCCTTATCCCCTCACAATCCCTGTATATCTCTTGGGGTCCAAAGGAGCCCCCCCTTTTTGTAGAAACTCTCAACTGAGATAATTGTGGTTATTATGTGGCGCATGGGGGGTTGTACGTAACTAAGTCCCCCTAACCCTCTCCGTACACCCTAAATCCTAATCCCTAAACCCCTAAACCCCTAAACCCATTCTGTTTTCCAAGATCCTCCTATAACCCCTATATAACCCTAATAATATTACCCCAATGACAACTCCGAGCCTATACCTTCTTTTGGACTCTTTCAGGTCGGGGAGGGACTTTCAAAAACTCCCTGATGCAAGCTCCTCTTCTTGTGCTACATATGAATAGCAGAAGCCAGCCAGGAAAGGGGGCCTTGGGAATTGTAGGGTTTAGGGTTTCAGGTCTAGGGTTTAGGTGTTCACGCGTGCGACGGCCTTCTGAACGACTGGCAGTTTAGGGTGCATGATTTGACCCTGAACTCGCGGATTTTCCAACACATCTCAGCGCATTGGTATTCTTATCCAGCTTGCAAGGTTGCAGCCTTCCGAGGGTCTGGCAGTTTGAGAAGTTCGCACGGGCACACGGGAGTTTCGAGCTTAGACTGAGTTGGATCTTTGAGCTGAACAAACTTGTGGGCTGCGATTGTTGCACGGCTTCACCAGCGCTTTGGGATCAAACAGTTCTGCTGGATTTGGGCATATGGATGATGAGGAGTTTTCCGCTCCAACATGTCCTTCAAACATCGAAACCGGCAGCCAAGTCTCTGCAGCTTCTTCTCCTTGGCCAGGCGCG